ACTTTTATTAATATGGATTTTAATTTACGAATTTGTTTATCGAACTTTATCTGCAATACCGACAAGTGTAATGCATAAAGTAAGAGAAAAAAGAAAGGTACTCCTAACTTTAAAGAGAAAAAAAAATGGTAGAAATATAACATTTAAAAGAATAAAAAATTTACAAGTTTACACAAGAAAAACAAGTTTAAAAAATACAAAATTCTCATATTTATCTTTTAAAAATAATTACAATTCCTAAATTAACTTATATAAACAAAACCAATGATTGAATAACGCAATATATTTCATACCTAATTAAACGGGGGGGAAACAATAAAATAAAAGGAAAACTTATTAATCTAAATCAAAACACTTGAAAATTATCGAGCCGAAACAATAGTTAAAAAAGGCACTAGCATAAATATTAAAACCCGGAACAAGGCAAGATCAACGGAATTTTTAAAAAAAAAAAAACCNAAAGAATTTATTGAGTGCGAAATTTATTGGGAAAAGGAAAAAAAATCAAACGTAGTGGAATCAGAAAAACAGTTTTGTTTTCTGATTCCACTACGTTTGATTTTTTTTTTAAATTTTTTTCTCCCAAGTTTTTCGTAGGCCCGTGAATTTCGTAGGCCCTAGGCACGTGCATAGTGTGCCTATAGGTTAATCCGGCCCTGTATTTACTATAAGTTATTTTTTCGATGGAATTACCTTCGGATAAACGAATTTTATAATTAAATGCACAAATTTCACGATTCGCTTAAAAAGTTCTGTGGCAAAATGCGTAAAAAGTAAAATTAAGATCAAGAGGTCCAAACTTTGGAACGCACTCTTGGCTATACTATTCGAATCATATTTCCGAAGGGGTAAAAAATCTGAATCCTTCAACAACAAGAAAACATATGCTTTTAAAGTACGTTTTTGTGTCTGCTCTCTTAACTTAAAATATAGTCTAAACTTACTAATTAGTATAATTGAGATCATCCTTTCGAATCACTAAAATTGAGTCCTAAAACGCGAAGAACCGATCACTAGATCAAAAGTTATTCAGGATGGGGCGTTTTTATTTTCTAGAGCACAGTGCATGCTATAAGTAGTATGTTTTCTATGGACACTCATACCGGAGAAAATTGCATAATTCTGGTTAATTTTCTCGATCGTGGTGAGTTTTATATTTAATAACCGTCATTGAACAGCGGACCCAATTTTTGGATTTACGGCTATCAATGTTTAACTCCGGGGCCTTGTCATTTTGAACCCAATCCAGAAGACAAGGGAATTCCTGGATCAAGTATTGGGTGGAATGTGCCTTCGTGGAGGACTTTCTGATGGAACTAAACAACATTTGAGTCACAGGGAGAGGAAAACCACCCATGGTTATTCCGACGACAAGGGGACTCTAGCCCATGATCCGTCTACCACTGAGTATATTTTACGTCAGCACTGTGTTCAGTGCAAGCCGGATGCGGAATTCATATCGACCAGTCATAGCTGGGATTCGAACCTCATTCAAAGGTGAACGCTCTATCCCCTGAGCCATCACTGTTCTCTAACATGAGTGGGTCGGTCTGCCAAATGACACTGAATGCAGTTAATTTTTATTTAATGGGATAAGTTACTAAAAACCTACTTCGCTTAATGTCATAACATAAAGTCACCGGAAAGGGCAACAAGTAATAACAAGTAAAAAAAAAATTATAATCGCTCTATCAATTTTGTGTGTATAGATCTTTCATTATTTGTTAATTGTTTCGTAACGTTAACAATGCCAATTTGGAGATCGTTTTTTCACTCTATACGAAGAACTGGCATTCAGCGATTGTTTATTACGATATGTACTTATGTGCCCAAATACTGGAATTTATTCTGTAATAAATACATTCGCAACAGTAAAAGAAATTGAATTCTTAAAACATGCGAGACTACAAATATTCTGAATTCTGTAATGAATTCTTGCATTGTATTCTATTGATGAAATATGAAAATGGTTAAATGGAAAGTTACTTCGAAATGTTTTCCCTTACAAAGTGTATCGATCACTCGTTAAGGATTTTTGCCTTACCACGCCCAACTACACATTATATCATAAATAATTTTAAGAATAAATTATCGTTTCTTGGAAAAGGTTCCGTTCTTTTCTATTCGATGGGAGCAAATGATCCCTAAAGACGACAAATCATTTCAATTATTCATTATCAATTAATTTAATAAATAATTTCCATTCATATTTTTAAATAAAGTTTGTTTTTCTTGTTGAAAATCAGCGAATTTTCATGTCGAAATCATACATAAAATTTTTCAATTTTTCCTTCTACTAGTTGCCTGTCATTCATCATTGTTTTATACCTTAAAAGTTGTTAAAAAATTATTTTATTTATAAAATATATAATTATCATAATTTCATGTAATCACATTTCCCTAAATGTTAGTAGTAACGAAATGAAAAGATACTCGGATTTGAAAAATAAATTTACTTATAAAAATAAATAGTATTGTATACTTGGAAAAAAAAATTTTATAACGATCTAAATATTATCCAGCAACATAATATTTTTCTCGCTAAGCTTTTAATTCAAAGTGGACCTATTAGGACATCAAATTTCAATTCTGTAGTTGCATTTCAGCGGGCAGTAGATCAACTAAATATGGATTTATTTTACTATAAGTTTAACGTTTCATAATTTTCGAGCTGAATATTGAATTGTAATTTATTTATTATTTCATCGAACTCTTTGTACAATTTTCTTCACACCTTAAGCCTTATATTGTGGCATGGCAAAAAAAATTTAACTTAAAAAAAAGAAGAAAACAATCGCAAAAAAAGCACAGAAAAATTTAATAACTTGCGAATAAATTAGAATTTCTGAAAAAGCTGGTGTTAAGTTCACATATAAAAATGGTTCTTTCAGCATATCAATTGTAGTAGCTTTCCTACTGCTTGTAAAACGGCCGCGTGGTTTGTTACTCAATAAGTTTAATGGTTAATAATTCTTGAACTAACTATCGAATACTATTATTTTTTATTCTATCGTATTCCCTGTACATTCATCTATACACCATAGTAATTTCAAGTTTATTAGTTTCACAGTTTTAGCGCAGCAAAATAAAATGTCACGTTAGTCGTACACTCAAAACAGCGGCGTCGGAGGCCCTTGAGACTTTTTAACAACGAA